TTGTCAGAACTTCGCTTCTGTTTGATCTGTTCTGAAAAAAAAAAAGCATTGCATGACGTGTCTTTTTTGTTGTTACAGGCAAAGGAAAATTACTAGGATGCGACAATTCAATTTCTACTTTGATGCTGAAGCAGCCAATATTGTTTTGTCATTATATATTCAATGTCCGATCGGCTTCATTACTTGGGAGTTATGGTTCCAATCAGCATTGACTTGGGTAAAAGAAAAGTTCGCTTTTCTTTTCAGATTATCAGATCAGGGATTGCTAATTATTAAAATTAAAAACGAATTTATTATTATTAAAATTATTATTATTATTATTATTACTATTATCATCGTCATCATCATCATTATTATTATTATTATTATCAAATCTCCTGTTATCATCGTTATTATTATTGTCATTATTATTATCATTCTTCTTCTTCTTATCATTTTATTATCATTATTATAATTTTCATCATTTTATTATCATTATCATCGTTATTATTATTATTTTCATAATTAGTATCATTATCATTTATTATTATTATTATTATTATATTATCATTATCATTCTTCTGTTTCTTCTTTTTATCATTATCATCATCGTGTCCATCTGAATAATCTTCATGTTTTTTTTAGATGCTGCATCTAAGTTTCAACCACAAACCTCAATTGACTGCAAGTCAACAGATCATAAGCATATTGCTACAATTTATTGGATATATATATTGCTGACATTACCAGCATCATTTTAATAATTGTATGTTGCTATTGGTATGTCAATAGTATTTTAAACTTTCATTAAAATATTTATATATATGCACAGATAACAATTTTGTTCAGTTAAAAACATCAGATTAAATGGAGAATTTTTTGAGTAAAATGATGTCATTAAGTTTAAAAATACATCAGCTGTCGAACGAATATTTAAATTGAATAGGATCCATTTAAAATAATAGATTTCTGCAGAATGTGCGTACCAATTCAATAATACAAGCCCATATAAAGATGATATAACTTTCCGTTTGGGGATGTTTGAATATAGAACATTCAGAATCTTTTTTCATTTCAACCAAATTACTCTACTCCTACAGAAACACAATGCGTCTATTTTTTGGTATGATTCCTACAGCACAATAACGAAGTTTTGAAATTTCACACCTTATGAATTATTTTTATTATAATTATAATTTTTAATTTTAAACAAGCTACTCTTCTAGAAGATTTTTGCATTAACCAAGATATTTTGTCCCCAATTTCTAACCTTGAACTTACGTTATTCATAATTTTTTAATAAAACTCATGATGTTATTTTTTTCAAAAATTGAAAATTATGTTGATGACATTTACTATTTAATCATTTGTTTTAATAGTAAATAATCTGGTTTATAAGGTCAATGAAAAATGATTTTCAAAAAAATGATAACAATCTGTTATTATGGGGTAAGAAATGAAAGAATTACTTTTAACGGTTCAAAACAAAACTGTTCGCTTTAATCGTCTGAACAGAAACTTTTCTTTTGCTTTTCATCAGAACGGCTGATGCTAAACCCCAGGAATATTATTTCTTCCAACTTCTCAATTTAACGTTTTTTTTGACATTTTAATGGATAGATTATTTGAATAAACTAGAAGTATAATCCGTCTTCGACAGGTCGTTTTCATTAATGGGAATTTTTGCCGCTCATTTGGAGCAGTTTAAGTTTAAAGTCAATAATAAAATCAATATTAGTAAAAACAGTTGGGGCAACTGAATAGATCTCCAAATGAGGGGGTTCAATTTCAATAAGGTGTAGCTTTGAAAAGAGCCGTTTTTGTGTTCTCAATTTTGGAAGAATCCTCTTTCATGGACCGCAATAATAATAATAATAATATACGATATTTTTTGCATAATATAATTTTTTAAAATAATTTTAATAATCTTTTTGTTAGATTTCAACTCTCTAAATTTATTGTACGTTGTTTTTTACATGCATTAAATTTTACCTTTTTTTTATGCAAGATGTAAAAAATCAGTTTTTCGATTTTTACCTTCAGGTTGTAATTTTTTCAGCCATCTGGGCTCAAAACCGGCACTAAAAATTATCTATCAAAAAAAAAAAAAAAAAGAACATGGAAATCGGATGAAAATGTCGAAACGCATAAACAACATCCGATCAATATATTTATACATACATACATACATACATACACATACTCATTTTGAGATTTCTAGGTCTGCTGCTAGGAAATTGATCTCACCAGAATCGATCTTAGATAAATATATCATTCGTCCATGCTTTGAATATTGCAGCCGTATATGGTCTGGTGCTTCTGACATATATTTAGATATTATTAATAAAATACAAAGAAGAATCTGCAACGTTATTGGCCCTGACCTGTCATATCGGTTTCAATTACTTTCCCACCGCCGTAACATATTTCCCTGTGACATGTCTATAAATATTTTCATGGTAATTGTTCTAATGAACTTTCCTCTTTAGTACCTCGAATTTTTAGGAATTTTATCTGGTTTAGCAGGAAGGAAGAAGAAACCGGTATCTCAGCGGCAAAAGTAACTTAATAATCAACGCAAGATATTCCAAATAAACGAAATAATGAATATCTGAAGATGGCCAGAGTGTACTTGGTCGCAACGTCGTGTCTGTAATAACATCTATAGCGGTGAAAATATTGAAAAAAGTGAAAATATTAAAAAAAATTTGAATATTAAAACTATTAGCAGAATTCAAAATTTGGTTGTCGTAGACTTTTCACGATCGATCGAAATTTTTTTTTTAAATGGAAATTTTTAAAACCTACTATGGCAAAAGTGGGGATTCTCCTTATAACTTTTTTTTTTAAAACAAAATGTCCCCCTATTTAATGCTCTCTTGTATGTTAATCAAATTAAGCATAGTACTAGATTGGTCATGGTCTCATCATTTTACAGTTGGAATGGATGAATTTAACCATTGAGTTCTAAATTAGAGTTTCTTTATCGCACTTCTTTGTGGAACTCTCTTCCGGCAAACTTTCTTATCAATCATTTGATTTTCAACAATGTAAATGCAATATCAATCGTTATCTTTGATTTCCATTTATCCTGTTATTGTTCTCTCTATTTATTAATTTTTTTCAGACATTTTTTAAAATCTCTACTTTGGTATACATTTCGCATTAAAAAGGAGTTTATATACATAAGATTAAAATATATATAGGCTGACCCATTATCTCTTATGCATATTCTTGTCCTGAGTGCGAAATAATAATAACTCTTTTACCCTACCCACTTCAAACTTTGGAACGGAAAAGAATTCGCGTGTCTATGTGACATTTTCTTTGGACAAATGAAAAACTTGCATTGATGGGAATTAATCGGTGAGATTTGAGAAGAAAAAAAATAAATTTTTTTCTATGTGAAATTGTTTTTGGATTTAAAACCTTGTCTCCACACAGAAATTAGCCCTTAAGCCAAGGAGAAAAAGAAAAGAAAGTAGCAATATATGCGAAATTCTTTTTGATATAAAAATGAAGAAAAAATTTAAATTTTGAGAATGTCTGAAGTCATGTGAAAGGTTTCGTTTCTGTTCATCACGTTCAGGGTTCAAATTTTCGCCAGTGTAAAATTACCTCAATTACTGGCCTTTAACTAAGCATACGGCACTTCGAAGAATTTTCTCTCAAAAATCCAAGAAAAAGTATTTCAAACTATCTCGCCTTCGTCTAATTTTTGATATATGCAAATTATCTCTTCTGAATAGCAATGAAGTCTCTCTACCTTTTGTCTTAAACATTTTTAAATATTTATTTTGTGTCAGATCATTTAATCTGTTTTATAACATTCCCTTTTTTGATAATTCATTAAAACTACGGACTGTAAAATTTCTGATTTATTTTACGGAAACAAGCAACTGACATAATTTCAAGCGTGTAAATTCGAAATAAATTCCTTTATCTTGTTTTGTTAAAATTACCTGTGTGTTTTTATCAATTATTATCGTTCATTAATCTTCTTGGAGTGGGTAAATCAACTGTTCATTTTAACCTCTAAGCAACAACTATATCCTCCTGAAAACTGCTCTTCATACTTTCACTTCTTACGTTTATAAACCTCATTCAATAAACATCTACCTTGAACGGCTTTCGAATATCATACTTATTATAAAACCCAGGTTGTGTGTGTGTGTGTGTGTGTGTGTCTGTACGTTTATATATTGGATCAGATTTCCTACATTTTTCAACCGATTTCAACAAAACTTCACAGGACTACGTAAAATTACCTTGCGGTGGTTCTGATAGCGCCAAAAATTGGAAAAACACAATTGTTTTTGCACGAAATCAATTTGAAAACACGATTAAGAGGCATCGCGAGAATGAAAGGGGGACAACTCATATCGAGTTATACTTATTATAAAACCCAGGTTGTTTGTGTTCGTTTATATATATATGGGATCGGATTTCCTACATTTTTCAACAAAATAAAAACTTCACTTTTTTTTTTGCAGGTAGTGTTTCTTATTGTCTTGCACACTTTTTTCTTTTTATTTTTACATTCAGAATGCTTTAAAAAATTCCATTTACAAGACAATTGTTTATAATAAAATTCTATTCAATCGGTAGACTCATAACGATTGAAAACAATGTTTTTGTTTGAGTTTGGGCTTTTGACCAATTCGTAAAAAAAAAAAAAAAAAAATTAAGACATGCGTGTCCGTCAACCTTAAACAATAATCTTTGTCAATTTTATTTTTCAGTCTTTATGATGGTCGATACTTGATCTATTTCTTACTGTTACATCCCCGGGCAACGCCGGGCTCTACTGCTTAGTATATATATATATATATATATATATATATATATATATATATAATTTTAATCCTTGATGAACTTCCGGTCGTTAGCTATGATTAATTAATAATGAACTTGTAATTTCGTTTATGATCAATTACATCACGATGCTTCTGTTAAGTTTAGGGAGTAATTATACATTCTTATTGCCCTAAGTAGAGTCCAATACACCAACATATCCAAACTTACAACACCTGGTATTCCCAAGCGGTAATCAATCTAGTACTGATCAGACTAGACTTTGCTTAACTTCGGTGATCGTACGGGAACTGGAAATTAGGATTAAGATAATATGAGGATTAGTTTTAAAACTCACTATATAGGATTAGGAAAAGTTTTAAAATGTCACAAAAGGACAACCTATTTTTTAATATTTTTTCACCAAAACCATTATTTTCCGGCGTTTAGAACACTACATCCTCAAAGACACAGCGAAATTTTGTTGAATTGGTTCATCATCCCTCATCACAGGGCCTTTTCTCAGACAAGCAATACAACTTTCGTTGGATCTTTTCTTTCGCTCTAAGTTGAAGTGATGATCCCTCTGGCTGCTATGTCCTGATCCAGCTTTCCTCTACTGTTCTCTCTTTTTAAAACTTGTTCACCTTTCTCTTGATGGTCCTTGAATGGACTTTGAAGACAGAAGCCAGAGTATGAATTTTGGTACCATTACTGAAGGCTTGAATGATCTTTTTCCTCGCGACATTGCTCATTTAGGAAGACAGTGAGGCAGACACAAAACGATTTTAACCTGTTCTTTTTCTAGCTGAATAACCACAGTGTTTTTCAGTGATTTTTCTCCCTTTTTTCTCTTTTCTTTCAGTTGTTACCATTTGGATTCCGGGTATCTAGACATGTTGTTAATTTTTGAGCGTTCTAGCCTTTCTTGTGTTAGAAAAATTGATTTTTAATTTTTTTGCATAATTAATTTTAATGCTTAAATAATAAAAGGAAATATTTATATATGTCTTCACTTGGTCATGAAAGATGAATCACAGCCCAAATACACAATATATATATATATATATATATATATATATATATATATATGTATGTATGTATGTATGTATGTATCTGGCCACTCGTATTCGAGGATAGCCGTCTACTAGGGCGGCTATCCAATCCTTATTGCAGACGCTTGCCCATACTGCAACTATGCTGAGCAGACCTTAGTTACAGTTTCTGGGAGAGAGCGTGTTATCTAGCGTGATCAACAACCTGAACAACACCAGCACACTCAAACCCTCGGTCACGATGACTTGTGACTTCGTGCACAGCTATCGAAGGCACCCAAGTGTTCCGTCTATCCAATTTCACTCACAAGACTTAGGTCATCCAACCCGTCGTCTAGTTTTCAGGCACTTGTGGAACGCTGGGATTTACCCCTTCAGTCCGATAACATCATGAAGTGTCCTTACTGAAAAATCGACCGGGGTTCATGGTCAGAATGCGAACGTTCTAACCACTCGACCACGTGCCCATACATCACTAATATTATCAGTATATATATATATATATATATATATATAGATAGATAGATAGATAGATAGATAGATAGATATTCATCAAACTTAACGATCTCTTTATAAATATATCCTCTTATACATCCCTGATAGCACACTGACAAATTAAATTTCAAAATCTCCAAAATAATTGTGGTCTGAAGTGGGTCTTCATGTTACCTGTTTTACCGCTTCATGTTCTCAGCTAACTTCGATTGATAAAATACATACTACTTATCTTATATCAATAATTGCATTAATTCAAAATGTTTTTTAATGAAAGTACTTTAAAGTAATTAAATAAGATAGACTCTGTTAAATCTAAACATGATGCTGTTTTTGCTCCATTCTAATTGAACGCTTTTTCTGATCGGCTAGCCGTGTATGGCTGTTTGTATGATATATAGGCTAAAATAGATTTGTGAAATATAGACGAAAATAGACAAACTACCTGCTGTTTTAATGATCTGGGAGACGATCGTATTGCTGGCACATAATCACAAATGTGGGTCATCCAGTAAGGATATCAATCACTAGAGTAGTATGATCTGAAAAACTGATATTCAATGTCCATTATAGTTATTTCTTAACCGTCTCCAGATGGAACGGTCAGATCTGGTTGGTCTGAGAAAATAATATTACCTTCGGCCAAAGTCAAATATCCATAAATAGAAATGCCTCTAACACGTGGTGTAGCCTTATTCGTCCTAGAATATGGTCTAGAGGGGTTAACTTGTGTAGGTAGGTCACAAGCTGAATTTAAACTTGAATTATCTTATTAAAACTAAAAAATAAATTTAATCTGGAAAGGGTTAGTCTTGAAAGGGCTAGTCTGGTACCAGGCCAGTGGTATGTGTACCCAATGAGGATCGATATCGCTAGTAACGGTCTGCAAGATAAAATTTAATCACTTTTCTACGATATAGTGGCCTAGATACATATCTTACGAAATCCGGGTGGCCCCTGCCAATTTTTGAAAAACAGATTTTTTTTCCCTTTGAGTCTCACGATAAATAAATAAATAAATAAATAAAAATAAAAAAAATTAAAAAGTTATGAGTAAAAGGAAATAAAAAAAAATCTTTTAAAATTAATTCAAAATAATGTCTACTCGGCACTTTTTTTTTTTTACAGTAACTGATAAAAGAAAATGTGTAATCTAGTGGGGATCTCTTCCCACTCAACACTCGTGAAGAACATGTTTGAATTTTGTCTGTAGCCGTCACCTGGAGATAAGAGATTTTGTCAAAGATCGTCGCTGAAATTTTGCTTTCCGCAAAGTGTTGTCGTTACAGCATCTTTTGTGACGGAATTAATCTGTATGCCACGCAGACGACACAATGTAACGTTTATTCGGCTTTGTCACTGGTAATACTCAAGCCAACCATCAACACATGATACCACGTACCCCAAATTTCTAGGGTTTCATAGCTGTCTAGCAAGGAAACAGTTATTAAAGCCACAGGACCACGTACGGTTCTTCAATTTGAGACAACGCAACACAATTAAGCTGCGAAGGCATGTGCCATGACACCTTGCTCAGACGGCTCACGTTCCCAGCACATTTAAGCAGACAATCGAGTTTTTGTACAAAGAACACATAAAGCAGTGGGTCCAGCCTGTTTTGTGCAAAGCTAATGGTGGCTGGTCCTTTCATCATTGCAGCCAATGGCGTCTGATTCAGAACAAAATAATTGTTACCAATCATTAATCATCGCTTCTTTCATGGAAGACTCAAAATGGTAACCCGACGATCTGCGAAGATAATCATATATGCTTTTCATCTTATTAATTGAGTTCACCGTTAGAATGATAAAACAGACCTACCCATAAGGCACAATTGACCAGCATATATAAATAGTCAAGCCAAAAGACAACACACAACAGATTTGTGAGTTCAATACCTGGTTAAGACAGTGGAGAACTTGGAAAAGAGACTTAACGGGAGATAACTGATAACTGACATCCAATAGACATGGCACGTGGGACTAGAACAGTCTACCCTAGCGAGCGAAATAAAGCGTTCATTTCGACATTCCAACCAACTGAAGAAGGCCAGAACGTACATCGGCCGAAACGTTGTGATAAATATGGCGACAAAGATGAGGACACTAGTTCGAATAATGTAAATAGTGTACATAACACCTCATCTCAGAAATATAGACAGATACTCAGAGGAATTAAGTTCAGCTGTCAACTATGGAACAGTTTTCTTTTCATTTACTCTTAATAAACAAGTTTTTACCTGCATCAGTAGTTGTCACCTTTGGTGCTCCAGCTTTTTTTCTGGAAACATTTGCGCCAGTTTCTAACTTTGTAACAAATATAGCAACCCATGTCTAGAAATCTTCCACTACCTGGCAATTTGTCTGTGAGAGTAGACTTCTCTGAATAAAAATTCAATTTGTACCCTCACCTCAATGCTTAGCTACTTTGATTTTGCCATTTTCTGCAAATTATTTAATAATTAAAAAAATATAAAAAAAAACTATGAAAATACTGTCGTAAGGGCAGAATCTTTTTTTCAGGGACAGCTACATATATTTTGTTTACAATATTTGGAATTGCCGGGTTAACATATAGAAACTGTATTAAAATTTGACTTAGTTGAAAAATTTTGATAGTCTCAAAAAGACTACTAAAAGGTTAATTGGAAAAACAACATATAATGTTTCTCATATAAAATATTCATAATTTACAAAAATGTATTGTGGACAGACGAATCCAGATTTGAAGTTTTGTCGAAACTCCTAAATGTAGCCGTAAATAGCTTCATGTCTCGATATAACTCTTCCCTTGTTTCCCCTGTGAGTTATAATCTCCAGCTATTCAAGGTAAAATCGAAGTTGCCTTAATTTATATCCGGGTTTCTATTATATCCGGGTTTGGTCTAATTGATATACATTAACACAGGCTCTAATTTGGGACCAGAGAAAATCTCTCTTATATCCGGGTTTCTCTTATATCCGGGTCTCTTATATCCGGGTTACACTGTAATAGCAATCTGGAGAAAGACTGAAAGATAAAAGCAAATACATTGTAATTACTCAAATTTTATCTTTTACTTAAAATAAAAATACAAAAATCTCATTTTAAGTTGCTTTTTATAGAAATGCAGCGTATCTCCAAAATTTTTGCCTGTAGTGTAAATTACACACACACACATATATATATATATGTATATATATATATATATATATATATATATATATATATATATATATATATATTGTTGTCCGCTTGTTAAAAAAAAAAAAAGGAGGGAATTTATTAGCATTTTTGCAGAACTTCCTCTATCCACGACATTGGTTAGAATCAAAATATCTTGCTTTTTTAATATTTCATAAATACAGTGACAAATCGAAGTATTTATAGAAAAAAGGACAGGAAAGCTATGTTACAGCGATGAAAAGTGGGGACACAATAATTAAGTTCCCAATGAGGATCAATCTTATTTTACTACATGGTTTTCTACGAATTTAGTTCTGCTTCAGGAACTTGTATCTGGATTATGAACGTATTTAATAGCATTTCGCATGTGGTCCCTATAATAAAGTTCCCAATGAGGATTGGTCCCCTCTTACAACCAAACTGACTACGAAACTAGTTGTACGTTAGGAA